AACAGATGGAAATCTTGTCTTGGCAGAAGCTAATGGTCGAATTGCTTGGCAAACAAACACAGCTAAAAAAGGCGTCACTGGTTTCAAGTTGTTACCAAATGGTAACTTTGTCCTTCATAACTCAAAGGGAAAATTCATTTGGCAGAGTTTCGACCATCCCACCGACACTCTTTTAGTGGGCCAATCTCTCCGCTTGTCAGGCCCGAATAAGCTTGTGAGCCGGGCCTCCATGAAAAAGAACGTAAACGGGCCTTACAGCTTGGAAGTGAAACCGAAAATATTCGGTATCTATAACAGAACCAAGCTTGCCGTGGAATTAGCTTGGTTTGATTTCAAAAATAGCACTTTGGAATCAATAAAATTGAACAGCGGAAATCAAAGGGTGAAGTTGGACTACAGATTGGCTAAATCAACAACAAGAAATTCCCATGTTATGGCGTTCACTAAAATCAACACAACTTTAACATACCTTCGGCTAGAAATAGATGGAAATCTCAAGGCCTACACTTTCTACGAAGACAAAGAAGAAGACAGATTCCGTTGGCGCGTAACTTATAACATGCTTTAAGAATATGCTTTTGCATATCAGTAATATAGCTCTATAAGATAAGGATTTTCAATAATAAGTGGATAAAACGAGTGGTTCCACAGCTATTCCAATAGGTTAGGGATTCCTATGTAGAGCTAGAATTTTATTTCCTTTCTTTTGCTTTTTTTTTTTGGTTGAGGGTTGTATTTTATTTATGATTTCTATTTTTTTCCGATTGAAGGGTATATTTTTATTATGTTTTCTATTAATAAATGCTTTGTCAACTGTGAGATCTCGATGGCTTGTTAATTTTCTTCTTCATACTGCTCTAAGCATATAGCATGTTACTTTATAGACTTCTAAATTTAGAACTTTAGGTAAAATCTAAAGTACTAGAATTCTTGGTCCCTATTAGAAATCAAACCTGAAATTTATAGAATTGATAGATATGTGTCTTGTCAACCAAAAAGATAAGAAACGGATGATAATTTGGCCAGCAAACTCAGCACAGTATTAGAATTATTAATTATTGGCTCCGATGAGAGTGCACCCGAAACCTGAAAAGTTTGTAGCTAAAGGCTTCAATGAGAGTGCAATAATCTTTGTTGTTTTTTCATCATTTTTTTTCCTACCTTAAGCACATAGTGCTCCCTCCGTCCTGATTTATGTGATATTTTTCGGATTTTGAGAGTCAAAATTTTGTTTGTCCTTTAATCATTTTGAATTATTAATTATTGTGACATATAATACTTTTTTACATACTTCC